GTGGTGGGCGGCATCCTCGGGGGGTCGAAGGGAGTGCAGGTGAAGGGCACGGTGGTGCTGATGCAGAAGAACGTGCTCGACTTCAACGACTTGGCCGGCAACGTCATCGACGGCCTCTTCGAGCTCCTCGGCCAAGGAGTTACCTTCCAGCTCGTGAGCGCCACCGTCGGCGACCCCGGTGAGTTGCTGGTTGCGTTGATGTTGCTCGTAACGTCGGTAGCTTTTCTTCTGCACTCTTACGTTGATGCAAATGTTCTGATGGCAGACAATGGGAACCGAGGAGTCGTCGGGGAGGCCGCCTCGTTGCAGTATCTCGGCCATCTGCCCTCCCTTGCAGCCGGTGAAAGCAAATACAGCGTGACGTTCCAGTGGCAGGAGAATCACGGGATTCCTGGCGCCGTCATCGTCAAGAACAAGCACGCTACTCAGTTCTTCCTCAAGACGTTGACGCTGGACAACTTTCCCGGCAAGGGCCGGATCCACTTCGTCTGCAACTCCTGGGTCTACCCTGCAAGCAAGTACAAATATGACCGTGTCTTCTTCGCCAACACCGTGAGTACGATACTCAAGTTCTTGCTGTGATGCTGAACTTAACCTGCTGTTGGATTAACCATGACTACTGTGTGTGTGTCCAGACGTACCTCCTAGCAGACACACCGGAGCCGCTGAAACCATACAGACAAGATGAGCTGCGAAACTTGAGGGGGCAAGACGTCACCGGGGAGCTGAAAGAATGGGACCGTGTATACGACTATGCGTACTACAACGATCTCGGAAGTCCCGATCAGGGCGCGAACCACGTCCGGCCGATCCTCGGAGGGTCGGCTGAGTACCCTTACCCTCGTCGTGGGAAGACCGGCCGCGCACCGACGAAGACCGGTAATCTCAGTTCCGACGAGATCGTGTCGCATTAGCGCCTGACTCCATTTCTAACGTTGCCTCGATCGCCTATTTGCTTGCTGCAGATCCCAAGACCGAGAGCAGACTGCCACTGCTGAACTTGAACATCTATGTGCCCCGAGATGAGCGATTCGGGCACCTTAAAATGGGTGACTTCCTCACCTACGCAATCAAAGCCATCTCCACCGGGCTGCTCCCAACACTGCAAGCCATATTCGATATAACCCCGAACGAGTTCGACTCGTTCGAGGAAGTACTGAGCCTCTATGAGAACGGCCTTCCGGTGCCTCAGATTCCTCTGCTGGATGAGCTGAGACAGAGGATCCCTTTCGAGATGATAAGAGAACTGCTACGCACTGAGAAGGGCCAGAACTTCCTCAAGCTCCCGAAGCCCCACGTGATTCAAGGTAAGTCCAATAGCAAAGCTTGTAGCAGTCGAACAAGCACGCTCATCTCACCATCCGGTTCTTGTTGCAGTCGATAAGAATGCTTGGCGAACGGACGAAGAGTTTGGCCGCGAAATGCTTGCCGGCGTGGACCCTCTCATCGTCAGCCGCCTTGACAATTTCCCTCCCATCAGCCAGCTCGATTCTGACAAGTATGGCAACCAACACAGCACGATCACAGCAGCCCACATCGAGCACAACCTTGAAGGCCTGACTGTTGACGAGGTATATGACTTCTGTACCTTAGAACGTACTCAGGGATCATAGGCACGGTTTGCTTGATTCTGTTGCTATTCTTCAGGCACTGAGGAGCTACAGGCTCTTCATCTTGGACCATCATGATGCTTTGATGCCATATCTTGGTCGCATAAACTCCGGTTCGAATAAGATATACGCCACGAGGACTCTGCTATTCCTGAAGGAGGATTCTACTCTGAAGCCACTGGCCATCGAACTCAGCTTACCACACCCTGATGGAGAACAATTTGGCGCCGTCAGCAAAGTGTACACACCGGCTGAAACCGGCGTCGAGGGTTCCATCTGGCAGTTGGCGAAGGCCTACGTCGACGTCAACGACTCCGGCGTCCACCAGCTCATCAGCCACTGGTGCGAATCAAAATCCCAACATAGCTCAGTTCTTAGTTGTGCAGAACCTGTTCACCTTCTCATGGTGCGTGCACATGCGCAGGCTCAATACGCACGCGGTTCTGGAGCCGTTCGTGATCGCCACGAATCGACACCTGAGCGTCGTCCACCCGATCAGCAAGCTTCTGACGCCGCACTATCGCGACACGATGAACATCAACGCGTTGGCTCGCCAGACGCTCATCAATGCCGGCGGGATCCTGGAGACGACCGTCTTCCCAGGGAAGTACGCCATGGAGATGTCTGCCGTCATCTACAGAAACTGGAACTTCGTCGAGCAAGCTCTCCCTACCGAGCTGATAAAGAGGTAACAAAATCCTCGGAAGATCTAATTAGGCATCGTCACGAGTGTATGCCTGGACTTATTCAAAGCTCTGTTTCTGCTCAGAGGAGTTGCGGTGCAGGAGGGCGACGGGCTTCGACTACTGATCAAGGACTACCCCTACGCGGTGGATGGGCTAGCAATATGGAACGCGATCCAGACATGGGTGACCGAGTACTGCTCGATCTACTACCCGAGCGACGAGGCCGTGAAGGCCGACACCGAGCTGCA